TCAGACTTTTTTTTTAAACAGGTGCAGCTGCTGAGAATTATTTTTGTTTCTTAACCGGTTTGGCTAGTGTCATTATGTGTGTAAAGCATAGCCAAGGAAGGAAAACTTAATTTTAATTTTGTAAGTTTTTTACCAAGCTTGCTTAATATTGTGCACAGCAAACAACCTTAAAATATTCTTCTTATTGTTTATTGTATTTATTTATTATATTTTTATTATTAATGAAGATTTCTGTTGAATTTTGGAGTCTTTGTTTTTATCCTTGTGGTATCGAAAATGGTATCGAGTATCAAATATCGGTATCGAGGTAAAAAGTTTAGTATCGTGACAACCCTACTTAAGACCAGTCAAAAAAATCATGTTTGAGTGTAAATGCAGTTTTCAATTAATTCCCCACTCAGAAGTTTTTGTCTCTTACTCTGATTTCTTCTTTTAACATTGTGAAGCTCTTCTTAGAAGCTTTTTTGATCCAATAGTGCAAAATGCAAATTCTTGCAATTTTTTGACTGGTCTTAAGATTTTGATCAGGAGTGTATATAACTTTTCCTCATCCGTAGCAGGTGGTCTTCCCCTCTTTTTCACCCAAGCTTGGCTCCTCTACCAGAGGCCTGGGGGATGGAGGGTTCTTCACAGTATCTTTGCTGTTCCTAGAACTGCACCTTTCTGGATGGAGATGTCTGATGTATTTCCATGGATCTGCTGTAACCACTCTTCAGGTTTAGGGGGTCACTGCCCCGATTGCCCCAATGACCATGGGTACCACTGCTGCTTTACCTTCCAGGTTTTCTGCAGCTCTTCTCTGAGCCCCTGGTATTTGCCTAGTTTCTCATGTTTCTTATTTCCTGATGTTGCAGTCACTTGGTATTGCTATGTCAACCACAACGGCTTTCCTCTGCTTTTTGTCCACCACCACAATGTCTGGTTAGTTTGCCATTCAGTGATCTATAAAAAGTACTTTTTTTGTTTTTTTTCGGTCTATTGTTTAGATTCTTGTTTTTCTACAGTTTAGGAAACCTTGAAACTTAACCCTGGTTTACAACCATCAATCATTGCCTTTTTAACCTTTTTTTCATGTTTCCATCTATCATTATCTCCATCTATTGATTCTCCTTCCCTACTTCATAATTATGACTGAAATGTATCAGTTTAGTGCTTTTTAAGTCTATTGTAAAGTTCTCTCTTGTCTTTTGGCTCCTCCTCTGAATCTCCTTAAATGAACCCAGTAGACATTAGATTCTCTCTTTAAACTCCTCAAGTAAAACTTCTTAATTTGTGTTTATATTAATCTGTAAGCTTAGTTTTTTTTCCTTCTCTTTAATGGTCATGGTGCCGTCAATGCTCAAATCAAAACCCAAAGAAAAAAGAAGTGGATGAAATCAGACGGGCTTATAGGGAATATTTTTAACTGTTAGGCAGCGCTGAGCGTTCATCTTAAAATTGGATTTGGTCTTGGAGAGAAAAGAGTCTAACAAGCGAGGATTAGAAAACCAGAGCAGCTACAGATATTGCTCAGTTGAAGAGTTGTACTGTTGGATAAAATGATCTTCTTTGATGTTTTATTTTGTACAAGAAATATACATATTTAAGAGACAAACATTTTAAAAGTATTGTCCGATTTTATTATTATTGGCTTATGGCATTGAGTTAATTTTCCAGGCTGCACTGTTTTTGCCTAAATTACGTAAATTAGATCATTAAATTAATTTTAATTTTAGAAACAAATAACCTGAGTAAATAAAAATCAAGTTTTAAAATAATAGTTTAATTGTTAAGAGGATAAAACGGTTATCCAAGCTCAGCTAGGAATGTAATTTTTCTGCTATCGACTGTATTTTATGGATTCTGTTTCAATTATTCCATCAATTACTGCCAAGCCTGCAGAGTCAAGTTTTTTTAAACGGGACCTGTCGGACAACACGAAGTAGACTTTTAGATATTACAAGGAAGTATAAACATGCCCGAATTAAAACTAATTCAAGATCATGAAAGAAACAAAGTCATTAACTATTCCTATATATGTTAAAAGTTAAAAATTGCAAATATTTCTAGTATGAATAAAAGCCAAATGGATTCTAAATCAATAGATTGTGAAGAGCAGTTAGTTTTTTGCTGTCGTGTGTCTGAGATGATTGATAGAAATCTCTCATGCACAGTGAAATGGTGAAATGCAAGTCAGAGTAAAGTAAACATAAAGGGTGAAGTCATAAAAATGAGGTCAGAGATGCAAATATTTGCTGAAATAAGAGGTTTTATTCAGATTTCATGGGTATGTATGTATATATTTTATCTTCTATTTCTATGAATCAAAGATGAATATTTCTGGTCCTGCAATAATTCCCAGAAATAGGTCAGTGGGAATTTAAATTCTGCCCAAACCCTCTGAGAAACTGATTTTTTTATGATGTTGAGCTTATAGATCCTTGTTTTGCTAAAGCAGTGGAGTTACATTATTAATCTGGTGACATTAATCCCAGCTGGTGAGATTAATTAGTAGATTAATTATTTATTCCATCAGTTGTCCTGTTCTGCTTTGGTTTAAAGGGCTCTCATATGTCTCTTACTGGGAACAAATGTTAAAAATCCAGCCTGTCAATGTAAGCATGCAGAATCATTCCAGCAGGGAGATGGTTGGGGAACATTTATTTTCTAATCCTAACAGTTTATCTGTTTTATTGGCTCTTCCAAACTGTTCTCTGTTAAATAATCAAAGCTTGTTTTAAACAAAACTTCCTCCATCCATCCATTCATCTTCCTCCGCTTATCCGGGGTCGGGTCGCGGGGGCAGCAGCTTAAGAAGGGAGGCCCAGACTTCCCTCTCCCCAGCCACTTCTTCCAGCTCTTCAGGAGGAACCCCAAGGCGTTCCCAGGCCAGCCGAGAAACATAGTCTCTCCAGCGTGTACTGGGTCTTCCCCAGGGCCTCCCCCCGGTGGAAGGGGGCGTCCAGGAGCCACCTCAACTGGCTCCTCTCGACGTGGAGGAGCAGCGGCTCTACTCCGAGTCCCTCCTGGATGACCGAGCTTCTCACCCTATCTCTAAGGGAGAGCCCAGCCACCCTACGGAGGAAACCCATTTCGGCCGCTTGTATCCGCGATCTCGTTCTTTCGGTCGTGACCCAGAGTTCATGACCATAGATGAGGGTAGGAGCGTAGATCGACCGGTAAATCGAGAGCTTCGCTTCTTTTAAAGTTTTTTATAAGCTTTACTGTTTGACCTTGTCTTCTAACAAACCTCCGAAGTCAGAGCGGCTGAGATTAAATTACAGACAGGTGGACTCCTGGCTCAATATCAAATACAGTACAATCCTGCTAAAACATCTTTTTTTCTAAATGCTAGATTTCAATATGTTGAAAGTTATTAGGATATGAAAACCTTTGCTTCCTGTTTGTATTCGGATGTGTGTTTGCCATCCAGTGTCAACAGAAAATACTATATTTTATTGGGGGAGTGTTGGTTTAGTGGTTAGGGCATTGCGCCTGGAATCCAGAGGTTCTGAGTTCAAGCCCCACTCCCACAGACTGCCACTGAGCAATACCCTTAACCCCCACACTGCTCCCCAGGCGCCGCACAGTGGCGGCCCACTGCTTCCCAAGGGAATGGGTTAAATGCAGAGAGTTCATTTAGTTGCTTTGTACTTGTGACAGTGTAATGACAATAAAGTTGAATTCTATTCTATATTTTTCTTTTCGTTCTCACAGATCCGGAAGATTCGGCTGCAGTCAGAGATCTGGTGGCAAATGTTCTCTACCAGGATGCACAGACGTAGCATAGCGACACATTTTCTCTGTATTCCCTTCCTCAATGTAAAAAATATTGTAATAAAGAGTGTTTCTCTTGCTGTTGCTCTTGTTTCATGTGGGACACCTGCAGCAGGACCAGTCAAGCTGCTGCTGGTTGTAATCTCAGACCTCCACATTGCTGCTGTCATTGGTATTCTGTCTGCCCAGGTTGTTTCCTAACTAGACGGGGGCGGCGAGGGGATAAAAGCGTGAGGCACATTGCAGGAGAAACGCTTCCCTGTTCAGCCTGATGTTTTTACTAAAGTGAGGGAGATCAGCGAAGCCATTATGCTGCATTTAAATCAGCCCTGACAAGCTAGTGAAAAACAGGGTCCCTCCTCCTTTTCATCCTCTACAGAATGTTCTTTTATCTGGTGAAGTCTTGCAAATACATAAAGACCCACAGATATTACATCACAGCATATGTTATGTAATAAAGGAGGCAGCAAGACGGCGGTGTTGTTTTGTAGACGAGCAGCAGTGGAGGCTTCGCTGATTGGAAGGGCTGGGGGAATCACCCACTGTTCCTCTGGAGAGGATCCTATAACCACCTATGTTGGCTGCCTCTATCCTATGAAAAATAAATGAGATGTTCTGGTTTAAATGAGGGAAGGTTCAGGTGTGCTGGGAGTCCACAGCCTCTCATCTGTCCCGTAGGTCTGCTCTTTAGAGACATATTCCCCCCTACTTAAGAGTTTGCGCTCAATTGTTCTGCAAGCTTTACTTTTATAATTAGACTCTAAATTGTCATCATTTCACATTCATGTTTGATTTCTGAGCATCCTGGATGATGTTGCACCAGTGCTGACTGTTTAGTTCTACCCTCTACCTTCTTCTCTGTTGTGGATTCATACCAAAATCAATCGACAGAGAAAAACCCCTATATAAATATAACCATACTAATGATTGCATTTTGCAGACATGTATGCTTAAAATAATTTATCTAATAACGTTTACAACTTTCTTGTGTTTATAGATTAGTTTTTATTATACCTTAAGATAAGGGCTTGCTTTATCTCATCATTTGTCCTGAGATTTCCGCTTGTTTAGACATTCTACCGATATACATTTTACATTTATTTTCTTTTTCTTAAAATAATAGTCTGGTTTTTCATTTCACATTGATTATCACACTTTTGCTCGCTATGAAAATAACACATTATACAGCAGTTTTGTCATAAAAATGTGTTATCTCATTGTATCAAAATGAAAAGTCCAGTTTTACCAGAGCGGCGGTTTAATTATCTAATTGTCTCCAGATCATCATTGCAGTTCATTTGAATAAAGATAACAGTGCTGGTTTTGTAATGTTTACAATTTAAGCATTTCACAACGTTGATCTATCGGGTAATGCTTTGGATGATCTAATAGATTCAATTTTTTTCTTGAAGTGGAGTATCGTTTTGTTCTAGTCAGTTCCTGCTTTTTCATTTTCATCTCAAAATAACGTTAATAATTAAGCGCTTCAATTTCCAAAAAAAAAAGTTTTTACTATATGGAAATATTACAGTTTAATTCACTAATGCTAAGATGTCAAAGCTTGTTTAAAACTGTTTTAATTAACTTGAAATAATTAAAGCATTAGATTGTTAAGATAAAAATACTGCTGTCTCATCATGTTTCATTAATGTTTAATGCATCCATGTCTTCAGTTTATTCTCTGTGCTGATGATACCACTTTGTTCTACTCTGGTGAAAATCTGTTGGATGAGGATGTGGTTGAAAAGGATTTACAAAGCATAAAAATTTAGTTGAACACGGATGAAATATAAAGGAATGTTATGCAATTTAACTGTATATAAATCACCATTCTGATAGATATTGATGGTGCTGAGATTACGGATGTGAACGAGATTAATATTCTGGTTGTGACTCAGCTGGAAACCACACATTAATGATTTAAAGTTAAAACCCTTCATAATAATTGAATTACTATATAAAGTGAACGACTCATGGAGAAATTAAGCTTTGTTTATTTATAATCCTCTTTCTTATATAATCGTATTCTTGTTTTATAACATCTGTTTAATTATTTAATTTGTCTCCATTTTGATTTTGTCCTATTAGTTAAATGAGGTTATTTAAAAGAAAATAAGTGTTTTAATTAAAGTGATTTATTTTAAGGTAATGGTGTTTGTTTTGTTGATTTCATTTTCTCAGGGCGATAAAACTCTTATTTTATTTACCTTAGAAAGCTTGTTTTGCTTTCAATTAATTCAGCTAATATTAACAGTTAACAACTCCTATCCTCATGAGAAAAAAAGATTTTTGGCGTATATTTAGATTAAGTTTAGTTTTAGGTTTAGTATGTCACAATAGTACAGACAAGGATTAGGGCTACTGGAAAAAAATTAAAAAGTTAGTTGATTTTTTATTATATTTGAGTTTAATATGGGAAAAAAAAGTCAGAATTCTGCCTTTTTTGTACGGAACAGCAATATGGCCACTGGAAAAAAAAGCTAACAATTTTTTTTTCTTTTTTGTACGGAACAGCAATATGGCCACTGGAAAAAAAAGCTAACAATTTTTTTTTTCTTTTCTGAGATTAAAGTCAGAGTTCTGAGGGAAAAAACTCCGAATTCTGAGATTAAAGTCAGAATTCAGACTTTTTTTTTCTCCCATATTATAAATATATTAAAAAGATGCGTTAACTTATTTTATTTTTTTCCAGTGGCCCTAACCCTCTTCCGTACAATAGTGATTGGTTTGATGAGAAAAAAACACATATGTTTAAACAGATGTAAGAGATTAGAATAAAGATTTTTTGTAGAAAGCAAAAACCATCATTCACTGGTTAAAAATTAACTAGTTGGTTGTATTTGTATTTTATTTAGTGGAGGATAGAAAGATCATGAAAAATTCCCCTAAAAAAACTAGTTGTTTTATAGCTTCTTGTCGGTATTAAATATTTGATTAAACTAAATGCTTGGATCCCTGAAGGATATGCATCTTTAGCACATGATTGACAGATAAATGGATTTTAACCTCATAGGTTGCTATGATATTACCATTTGCTGTTTTATCAGATCTTCTCGTTGTTCCCCTCAGCTGCCCTTATAAGTGGTGTGCATTTCTCCTTTGTGAGCTCACTGAGACTCATATTTATGACCTTTAATGGTCATTCTGGGCCAGGCTGTTGTTTTTAATATAGAGACTCAGATGTGCTATACATGGCTTCATGTGCATGCTCTCCTGGCTCCATTCTGATCTCCTAGTCAAAATGTCAGTTTAGTATGCAGAGACCTCTCCAGCTTGCAGGGATAAATCCTGTGAGACTTTGACTTTTGCTCTATTATTTTCCCCAGACATGTTTTAATATGAAATATGTTTCATACATTTGTCTCTTACTGTGACAGGACCACACCAGGGCACAGGCCGTGTCAATATAGCTGGCCTCATGGTTGCACTGCCGCTGATTTGAGGGTATTTAACAAAGTACAAGATAAGCAGCGCTAGCCCTTTAAAAAAAGAGGTATTTAAACTGACTAGTTTGCATTTTCTCATTCAATATATGTTCCTTTTTTTGGCTGCATCTTTTGTTTCTAGGATAAGAGGCAGATACTTTGTCATGATGGGTTCTCTAATGGAGACCCAGTAATGCAGAACACCACTGACGGACACAGGGATGAAAAGTTTAACAAGTTTATTTCGCACAACACACAGAATGTACTGGTGACTGGTTCGGGCCTGGGTTCTGGTTTCACCGGAGTCTGCGTGAGAGACAGAGCTGTTATGGACTGCTGACAGGATTTGATTTCCGAGGAAGCACTGATAGTACCTTGAGGGTTCTTGAGGTTCACTTTGGGAGGGTCACTGTTGGTTCTGGAGAGGTGTTTAT